CTTTATAGCCTTTGTCTTGATTTGTTAGCCTGGTTTAATTAAGAAATGTGCTTTCAAAATAAAAGTGAACAAAAGATGTAATAAAACGATGTAATAAAAGCTGAATCGTATATAAAACAGACAAATACATTCAGATCTATTCTTCTATGAGACTCCAACTGCAAGCTCTACCAGTAGGACAAGGCGTTTACAAGCCAGCCAACATGCATTACCTCTCCAGTCCTGGATATGCCCCAGAGTGTTTTCCTGGTTGAACATGCCTGAAACACCCCACCTTCGAGGGGTCCAGGAAGCATCCAAGTCATGCGCCATTTAAACTCACTCTTTTCCAGAGGAGTGGTACCTCTACTCAGAAGCCCTCATGAATGACCAACCTCTTTATCCCATCTGAGGAAAAGCTACAGACACCTTTGGGAGGAAGCTCATTTCCGCTGCTTGAATCTGTGATCTCATTCTTTCGGTTACTAGCCACAGCTTATGGCCATAGGTGAGGCTAGGAAAGTAGATCGACCAGTAAATCAACAGTTTCACCTTCACGCTCAGCTTCCTTTTTAACACTACAGACCGCTACGGCGTCTGCAGCACCAATCCCCCTGGCATTCTCCCACTCCAGTCTTTCCCCACTCATGAACCTTGATACGGGATACTTGAACTCCTCCACTTGGACCAGTAACTCCTCCCCAGCCCAGAGAAGGCAATCAAATCTTTTCTGGGTGAGAACCATGACCTCACCCAGTGTGAATTCTCATCCCAGTAGCTTTGCACTCAGCTGTAAATTGCCTCAGTGCGAGCTGGAGGTCGCCTCTCAATGCAGCAATAACGACTACATCATCAGTAAAAAGCACAGGCATGATCCCCAAGACCACCAAACAGGAAACCTTTCACCCCTTGGCTCTGCCAAGAAATACTGTCCATAAAAGTCAAGTCAAGTCAAAGTCTCCTGTAGCACATTTTAAACAACATCAGCTGGCCAAAGTCCTGTATAGGACATACAAAATATAAACTAAGTGTTGTCACAAAATCAATATTAAATATACACTAAAAACTGCCAAATAAACAAAGTAAATAAAAACAGAATTGGCGGCAAAGGCCTAAATCCTATTCCCATCAGGAACAAGCCCCCATAGCACTGAGAGACTACTAAAGACTGAAAGGCCAAACTCCTACGCACCCCAAAGTATATCTGAGAGAATAAAAAACACTCCAGTCTTCAACAACCAGGATGAAGAGGACTCTGAGCCTCCTGAATTTGAGGCATTCCCTTCACCAGCATCCTGGCATAGAGTATAATCCCTCTGAAATTGAAGCACACCTTCCAGTCTTGCGTCTGAAAATGGGGGGATCAGCACCCATTTTGCCAGTCCAGAGGCACCATCCTCAAACTCCATGCAGAGGAATGCCAAACAGGACTGTGCCACGACATGCAGGGCCACGATGAACTTAGGCCAAGTCTGCTGGAGGTTCACTAAGGGCTTTTTTATAACCATCTCTGTCCTGATACCTGATATACCGACTATGATACTTTAAATTAAAAAAAGTCATATTTTATAATGATTGTCCTTTTTTTTTTTTTTTATTAAAAAGGACCAAAAATGCTTTTTTTTCTTGCCCTTTACTTCATGTACCAAGTTTGAATCCAGTGCTGTGCAGAGGATATCAGTCATGGCCAGAGAAGGCCAGCGTCTAATGAATCTCCACATTGTCACAAGTCTAATTCAGACAGCCGTGCTGACTGTACACCGTTATGTTTAGGAATGGGATTGCAATGTCTGTGGGCTTTCAGTGACCAATAAAAACCCAGAGTCAGGGGCATATGAAACACCAGTGGCTGACAGACACATTAATAACCTAGAATGAATTATTCAAAAACGCTCAGGCTCTAATCCATCAAATAATATATTAAGCTCCCTCTCAGCTCAATGGGGGATGAAGCAGCAGACGGACAGGGAAAGCAAAACATTAAAGGCAAAAAAATAAACAAAAGCAAAACATAAAAATAGAATTTTTCAGCGCGGCGGTGACAAAGGCAGTCGAAGTGCATTATAACATCAGTTTCAAAAATGAGGCTCGAGCGAGGGGTGAGATGGAGAGACAAAAGAGGGCGCGCATGAAACCAACTCCACCGCTGCTACCATCGCGGCAATTAACAAAAGGAGCAGTTCTCACTCAATGAATACACCGGGCGCATTGTGTATGAATCTGATATTCAGCAAGTGAGAGATAATCCTTTCTCTGCGTTCTTTTAATAGGAAGAGCTTAGAGAGGGGGCCTCACAAAGGTTCACCATCTGTATCCCCCATGGCTGCTGGCAGCGTATAATCCACAGATCAACTGTACAAGGAAATTAGGGCCATAAAACAGAGTGGGGCCTCTTTTCTTCTTCTCGCAATTCTTTTCAAACAGTTTGGTAGGAAGGAAGCGGCGAGGCTTATCAGCGAAGAGGACCTGAGAGGGAAACGGGAGGGCAACAGGCGTGCAGAGTTTCTATGAATAAGCAGTGGGAGAAAGTGGTTTCTAAAGACGAAGAGGTAAAGTGGGCAAGAGCAAAAGTACTGAAGGAGAGGGTGAGAGCGAATGGTTGGGGGCGGTGGTGTACAGAATGGGAGGTGCGCAGGCCAAAAGAGCCCAAATGAGAATGGCCCACTCCGGCAGAAGTTAATGACGAGGGATCAGAAAAGCAAGATTTCCATTCAACACTTTGAATTATTCAGGGTTGCAGGGCAGCTATTTGCATTGCAGATGCCTTTGCTTTCCATTCCTCCACTGCTCTCCCTCCATTCGTCCTCTCTCCAGCTCTCTCCCTTCCCTTTCTCTCTCTGTCTCGAGCAAGAGAATGGCCCTGCCTCAGGGTTAGGAGATAGACACATTCTCAGCTCCGCGGAGAGAAAGCTTTGCCCATGCAAAGCAGGAGATTATCTGCCATTTCCAACACAGCCCAGGTTCAATGGTCACTGTGGCAGAGAAACAAATAAAACAAAGGTCAGAAAACATGCATAGTAAGCCGTTAAAGCTATCTGCCAGGGCCCTGGAAATATTATGAGCATGTCATATTCCATCAGAGCTTTCAAAAGGAGCGTGCGTGGAAAGAGGCCCATTTGAATTCGACGCATGAGCGCGCCGACGGGGAAAGAAAAAAAAATGTTAAAAAGGGAGGGAAAAAAGAAAAATAAAAAAATAACATTATGGCAACTTCAGACAACGAGGCAGCGACATATCTGCAAGTGCACGTCTGTTGATGTGGCGCCTGCTGCTTTTGAGAAAGTGGTGGTTTGACGTCTCTGTCAGAGGGAGCGGCGTGCGCAAGGATGAAATGACAGTGCTCGCGTGCCCCTCGTACCATCCTACGGCACGTGCGAGCGATCCGAGTTTGTCTTGTAAGGAGAAAGAAGTGCTCTGTTCAGTGAGGGAGAGAGAGTGCTGTGGGGCTGCAGGGTGAGGATGGAAGAGGAGGAGGAAGAGGAGGAGAGGGGGAGATGACAGAGTGACAGCATGACTCATCATCTTCGTGGCACATCTTTCACCTAATAACACCCAAACTCTAGATCGTAGAGGGAGGGGGGCAGAGAAAGATGGAGAAACGCAAAAGGATATAAAGACTAAGTCAGAGACGGGGGAGGGTGGAGACAGATCGACGGCTCGACAACAAGGTCTTAAAGGAGGCGTTTGAGTAAGGAAAAAAACAACCCTGAAATGAAGATGACAAAAGCCTCGGTGAAAGAAGAGGAGCAACATCAGACGGCATTCTCGATGCAAACGACTTTGAAAGCCTCATTTTTTGTGGTTTTTTTGCGTACGTGTGCATGTTGCGCCCCTCAGCGAGTGTGTCTGCGGTGAGCGGGAAGACGAGAGAGGGGTGGGCGATATTTTTGAGTTAGCAACCCAAAAACCCATCACCACAGGGTGCTCTCTGACAGCAAGTTTTCTCACCGGTTCCTTTACAGCACGAACCCTGTTTATTCATCACTTTTCTAAAGATGAAACTGGAGGACAGAAGGTGGGGGGAGAGGCTGAGAGAGACGAGAGGCATCCGGTGTCGCGGCCCTGCTGCCTTGCTCGGATGTGCGCGGCGATGAGGCGGCGACAGCCACGGGACAGAATAGATTATGACTTTGTCTCTGCCGATAATGAAGCCGTTACAAGCACGGAGCAGCGGGCCCAGCGAAGAGGCCGCGGCGCTAGTCAGCACTTTCCCCCCGTCGCTCTCCTGTTTTCCGTGAGAGGGAGGGAAGCGAAGAAGATCTCTTTAAAGTCACCCACTTTCTGTATCTATCATCAGGGGAGCGCAGAGATGGCTGAACTGGTTCAATCAAGATGGTGATAAGATGGGGAAAGCTGCCGACTCTGCAGCTCTCCAGGAGTGAGGCTTAGCTTAGCGCTGCCCATGGGGTAGGATGAAGAGAGAGAGAGAGGGAGACGGGTCCCCACCAAGAGATTTTTTATTATATGTGTGTGGTTTCCAGCACAGGGTCCTAATCACTGCACAAACCCTATAAACGGAGCAGCTGGAGAGACGAATGGCGAGCTTGTGTATGTGTTTGGTGCGGGCAAAGGAGAGCAGCTCTCTGGGGATAGCATGTCCAGCCAGAGGTCAAACCGCATCTCCAGAGATCAATAAAAGCTGCGTAATGTTTCCAGAGCCTAATGGGAGATCCACTGCAGCTATTTATACCGTTTAACACGCACAAAAAACAAAAGAGGAAATACATTATTATGAAAAGGTTCAGTTTCATTCAAAGCATTTGAATTAAACACATTTATGCATTAAAGCGTTTTCAGTATGCGCTGATGCAAAGTCCACTAAAACTCGACTATTAAATCCCCCTACTAATGCGTGTGTTGTGTTTACACAGGCGGAGAGAAAGTATTTGTTTTCCGTATATGGAAATCTACCCTTTTAGGAATAGATTTACATATTTAGTTGACTCGAAATGCATTCCTCTGTTTTGTTCTCCTGCCCGACCATCATCCCCCCTTCTCTCTTGATCTCAGGGGAATCTCACCCATCAGAGCCTCAAAGCAGTTGGCCATGGCGTGCCGCAAGTCCGACTCCCTGCACAGATCCGGTCCGTGAGCGTAGAGCATGAAGCGATCCAGCTCCAGTTTCTGCAAATGAACAAATGCATTCACGTTAGCTCGCTGTCAACAGCACCTCACTAATAACCACGTAAAAAATGATGACCTGTTTCGTTTCTTTTTTTTTTTTTTTTTTGCATTCCGCACTTTCACAGGCTTTTATGTAAGAATCCAAAAACTCAGGGGAAATGAAAAAGATTGCATGCCCTTGCTGGAAAAGGTTCTACTTCATGGCACTGACAGATGTGCTCATGTGCTGTCCAGCTGTGGCATGAAGCACTAAGCCGGCACAGGAGGAGAATGTTCACACGTGTGCATACAGGCAGACGCACGCTCACACGCACGCTAGATAATCCCAAGATAAAACGTGAAATCGCACTGTGGTGACCTTCATTCACTCTGAAAAGTAGTTCTTTTAGTAGGCGCTACTTTCTTTACAAAAGCATACATCAGTACAGCAAAATTGTACCACAGAGAAATGGCCTTTGAGCAGCAGCTTCCATTCATATAAAGAATTGATGCTCAGAATCATCGTACTGACTTTAAACAAGTCACTGGGATTTATAAAACTCTCCCTGGAACATATGTCCATGTCCTAATTTTTAATAGGATATTAGTGCACGCAAGGTAAATACAGTCAAGTCGCTAATGAGGAAAAGCCAAAAGCTGCAGTTTCTCCAACGGCCTTTGGAGGCTCCAAACGTGAGCTGAAGTTGTGCTTTTTACCCCAATAAGCAACAAGAAACAGCAACAAGTAGTTTCATGTAACAAGTTTGAGGTCAGATTTCTTAGTTATGAGACCAAACTTGTATGTATTTATAAGAGCAGTTAAAAAATAAATAAATAAAAGATAACAGAACATAAATTAAATAGTTGCTCAACTGGCTCCTGATCCATCCAGTTCACAGATCACTGTAATGCCTGAATTATGCTTCAGTGAGACATCGATGTTGTACGGTGTAACCAAACACTCCTTTAAAACCCTACAGTGGAACCTGATGTGCACCTGCCGAGAAATGTAAATACACGTTGAGTTAATGTAGCCCGCAACAATTCGAATGGCGTGGAAGGGTGAGGGGTAATGTTAAGAGGCGTTTCTGAGTCAGGGCGTAGATTCACTGCAGAAGTCTAAATAAGCTCAATGTATAAAGTGCAAAAACAAAGTGATATGTTTTCTGGTCTCTGGTTGGCTGTACTGCTTAAACTAATGAAAATGTACTCGCACGTACCGAGTCTGCTGGACGGTTACAGTGTGAATGGAGTTTTTACTACCAAACTTCAGCTACCACAGTAGCGTTTCCTGGGAGTCATGGATGGACAGACTGAGGCCTCACATTGGCATAAGTGGTTCTTTGGCTTAATCATCTTAGAACATCAAGATCATCTTAAAGCTACACTTATCAAAAGACATGAGCATGGCTACACTTAAGCCAATGTGGAACTGCCAAAAACCTTACTTTGGAGCCATTTGCGGCTCCACAAACTCCACAGACCCCCGACATGTTCAAGATATGAGCTTCTCAAGCCAATTAATGTCCAGTTTTTACCCACAATAACCAAGAAGTATCAGTAAAATGTCAAGTTTTTTAGTGTTGTATAATTAACACATAATCAAAACAATTTAAAAATGTATATTTTCATCAAATGTGGAAGTGCAAAACAATACAGTTCCTCTAATGTCCTCTTGAGGCTTCAAAAGCGATCAATCCCCATAGACGCCATGTTAAAAGGTCTAACTTTATATATGCTTTTTACAAAGCATGCTTACATTCTAGTATACCTTATAGTTTTGGTCTCAAATGGCTTTTTTAAACAAGTGCATGCAGGATGAATTTTCTTTTATAACTCATCCATTTGGATGAGTTATAAAAGTTTAAAATTACAGCAGTGGTCACTTTCCTTGACATGCAGATGCTACCACAGGTAAGGCTTAACCTTAGTTAATTTAAGTCACTGGTCTGAGCCACTGGATCACTGTTTGGTATTAATGGCCTTTAAAGCGGTTATCAAACAGAGAGCGATGGTTGAAGTGCTGTTAATTATCTTCCAGGAATTCTGTGCTCCAATTTTAGTTGGCAATTTATCGGTATTTCCCCTGGTACTAATTAGCAGATATCTCCGTGTATGTGACAAACCCGGGACAGTCTGTTTGCAGCTTGATAACCAAGTTTGCTAGCATTGACCTGATGATATCCGCACTTCTGTTGTGTTTTCTTAACCCTCTGGGCTTGTTCAAAATCACTACCCCTTTCAACTTGTTCGTGGCCAAAAGTGGCCACCAAAAGATTAGGTCTATGTAATTTTTATTATTTTTATGTTTTTTTGCCATTTTTTCTGCATAAAACTTTTAACTAACTTCAATTCTTTTCATAAATATAAAATAGTTATTACTTTTTAAATTTTTAACCCTTTAAACACCAGTTTGTTTGTCCACTTTTAAAACACGTCTTAAAACTCATTTTTACTCTTTGGCTTATGACACAGTCTGACCCTGATTTTATTGTTTTAATCTAATGTGCTGATTTTATTGTTTTAAATGTTTTTATATATATATATATATATATATATATATATATATATATATATATATATATATATATATATATTACTTATCTTATATTATTATTACTATTTTTCTCATTTTTTTAACATGCTCAATGTATCATGTTTGGCATGTCAAGTGTACAGCACTTTGTGTTCAGCTCGTGGCTGATCTGAAAGCGCTATATAAATAAATTTCTTGCTTGCTTGTCCACTGCACTAGCTGGAAGACAACATCAAATCTCGCAATTTTATATAATTGCATTGCTACTGAAATTTCTTGTATTATTAATAGTAGAGTCTGGGGCATGTAATTGATTCACATCAACATTGATTATAATGCATTGTTATATTTGTGCAGGGAGAGCAAAAACATAAAAACTCCCCCTGTTTACGTTTACAAAATGCTATAAAATTCATATATATTAAGAAAAATTCCCACTTATTTGTTCAATGACTTGCTGTTCAGTGCTGTTCAATGGGGGGTGAATGGTCAAAAACAAAAATCACACATGGTATGTTAGTGGCCAGAAAGGCCATTTAATGACCAAATAACCACTGAAATGACCAATGAAATGATCAAAATGTATATTCCAGTGTGTGCTTCTGTGTGCATCCTCATTAGCAGCAAGATGTGCTAACCACAGTAGAGTGGTTTTTGTAGGCACACTTTCTACACCTGGTGCGAGGGGCTGCTGTTCCAATCCTGGAGGTGCTCCTTTTGCACCTGTATCTCATTTTGTTGGTGGGGTGTGGGTTCAGAGTACTGTATCTTGAGATCAATGGCAGAAGTGGCTGAGAATTAAGGAGAAGGGTGTCTTGCAGTTGTTGAGGTCACCAGCATGTGTCCCAGCTCTCCCAGGATCACTCTTCATTTGTAGATTGTAGAGGACTCCCCCACTTCAGTGAAGTTGTTTCTGGCGGGACAAAGGCATCATCATCACCTCTGCCAAGGTGCCCGAAGGAAAGACGTTGTCCTCAGAGCTCCTCCGTCAGTTGGAGTCTGAACCCCATGCCTTTTTTTACTTCCTGATAACTTCCAGTGTTGTCATCCAACATGCTATGTATTGCTTTATTCTGGTGTAGGCTTTATCTCCACTTCATCTACAATCCTCCAATCCTCACACCTTTGCCTCCCGTGCAGGTTTGTAAGGGTGCACAGCAGCTAAAAGATCTCCTTTGTTATAACAAAGTCAAAAGTAGATCTCAGGCTGCTAATGCAGGAAACTGCATACAGGGTGAGCCCTGGTTTGACACCAGTGGGTACTGGATTGTAGAGCAGTCTCTCTTCAGTGGTGGGACCCACATGGTTTTCCTTTCATGAGGGATCCACTCAGTCACCGGCTCCTCGGTCTCAGAAAATGCTCCTATGTTCTTTTCCATCAGCTGCTCGGCCTCCGCCTCCGTGCCCTCCAACCCCAATCCTCCCCCAAAGAAAAGGATTCAGGCACTGGCTAGTACTCATCATCAGTGGTGATGCGGTCAGCCTCTTTGGAGATTGTCCCCTCATCTTCTGGAGAGGAGGTTTCTTCATCTTGGGCAGATGTCTTTTCTTCAAGGACAGATGACTGCTGCCGTCCTTGCTCTCTGACCAGATCATACAGACAGTGCTTGAAGCAGTGATGACCTTCTTGCCATATAGCCAGAATAAATGATCTGGAAGCTGTTAGGCTTACTTACAGCAGTAGCTCTGTCTGCATCTGCATAAACTCCAGGACACGTTTACAAACAGTGTTTGTTGTTGTTTGAGCTCCAGCTGCAGGTTTGAACTCTGCAAAATGTCCTGTGATTGGGTTTTTTTTTTGTTTTTGTTTCTAGAGTTTATATTTTTGGTATGGTATCTTTTTATGAAAAATACAAGAGTAAAAGTGCTTTTAACATGTGCTTCAAAGCTAAGTTTGACTGGGAACCTCAAAGCTCAATAGCCTGCATCCACAGAAATGCACTGCAGCCTATATAATGTTTGATGCGTCATTATTTATTCCAGTCTATCTTGCAAATACATGTTTGTGCTGCAATGTCGTGCACAAACATAAACTATTAGATCCTTAAGATCAAACCTATGTCAAAATTGTTTCATTATTTTGGTCCATTGGAGTGTGGTAGGCCATCGAAAGCCGCTACTAGAAACTAGGAATATTACATGAAATCGCTTGCTTGGCCAAAAATGGGTAAATGATGTAATTTGATAAAAAAAACACTAAAAACTATAACTTTCATGTGTTGACTTTAGAATGAAAGCAATTTTACCTAAATCGCATGATATAGTACTGTCAGTAACAAGGAATCAACAAAGGTGGTTATAATGGGTTTCAATTGGCCAAAAATGGCCACGATAGAGTCAAGAGGAACAATTTGGTGTATAGTGAATATTATTGATATTATTAAGGAGCTGATGTTGAAAATGAAAAAATCTGACAAAAATACACACCTTTGTGAAGTTTCATTCCATTTGCATTAACAGAACAAAAATGAAGTAGCCACAAATGGCCAGGATAGAACCCAGAGGGTTAATTAAATGTTCACATCTGTTTTCTTTTGGTTGGTAGTAAAAAATAAGCAAAAACTCAGAACTTCACTAACAGGTGACTGCATGCAGTAATTTCTAACTAAATGCAGTTACTGTTAAAATCTGTTAAAAAGGGTTTGGTTGATTAAAGCGATCCATGCTTACATCACTGATGCAGGCCCGTAAAGTTGTAAAATTTCAAATGTGTACTAATAAACATCAAACAGAGTTTTTCGGTCTAACAACAAAGCACATCGCAGATAATAATCTGCATAGGTTGCAATTCAGTGCTGTGATGTGTGAGACTGTGGGTCAGGCAAACTTTCTGCAAACTATTTCTATGAACCAAGTCGAAAGTAGCCCAACTTGACTCTTCTGGCAGCGCACTACAGACAACAAAAAACAGTCAGGGTGCTATTTAATTACGGCTGATAACTGTTGGTGGTATCCCACCCCCGGTGATTGCACACACAAATTAAATCACAATTCATAAATACTCCAACTCAGAGGGAACCCGCTCTGACTTTTAAGCCTTCCAAGTGAAGTGGCGGATTGTGCGTTGCTCGCTCAAGATATTTTTTGAAAGATAATTGCGAGTGTTCTTGAGCAGACAGCTTTAGAGGAGCCTGGTAAACAACTTGGCAACGTTGAACACTGTATCACACTCACTTTACCGCGAGCGGCAAATTGAAACAAGCCAAACTGCTACACAGCACTAATGCAGATTCGGGTGGCTGCATCTTTGTATTCAGCAGGGAGCAACATGAAAGATTGAAGTTTTTAATTGCTTTCTCCACATCACGGGACGATTATTGTTGTGTTCTTTACAAACGTGCCAGTGAGTACAGCTTGGCTCTACGACGCTGCCAGCAAGAGAGCGAAGGAGGGAAGCAAGGGGGCCTAGCGATAACAGGAACTGGAGAGTGTTTCAGGGAGACCTCTAGGGGCCCATAGGGACCCCAGCCGCACTCGTCTAGTCCTCCAAAACAACAACCTTTTAACTCCAATTACAAACCTGAGGGGGCAAAAATGGGGTAGTAATGGCATCGAGACAAAAATTACTCTTTTCCCCAGTGCCTGCTTAGAAAGGAGCAAAGTCATAACAGCAAGACAGAAAACAATAAGACTGTCTCCAACATGTTCTCCTGCCAGATCTGACACCTTACACTACTTTGACCTGCAGAGGAAGGTAATGAGTTGGAGGAGGTGGGGGAGGTTTACCTTGGCTAGCATGGCCAAATGCTGGTTCTGTACGATGGCCGTTCTGTAGGTGGCCAGGCCACCCTCCTCTAAACTGGGAAAAAGGTAGTACAGGTGAACACTGTGGAAAGAGAAATCAAACACAAAATAGTTCAAGTTAGCCTTTTTATGATTTTTCAAATCAGAATTTCTCATCCGAACATGTTAAAGGATAGAAAAATATGACCAAGTATAATCGAATAAAAGTTATTGCTCAGCCCAACAGACACGAGAATCAGTGATGAAGAAAAATAAGCCAATAACTGTCCAAAATAAGGATGACAAACATACAATCTACACGCCAAAAGCAGCCCACCAAAGACGGCTTTGCAAATGTGAAAACTGGGCATCGTTTTGGACTCTAGCTTGAGTTGCGAGTTGCTAAAAATACCAGAAAACCGTGTTAACGTGGTGTCTTTTAAGGATTCACTGTTACATGGGCCAAGTACGGGTGTTCGCTGGCTCTATTATTCAGTCCAGTCTCATAGCAAAATGTGAAATAGTCACAAAAGAGCAATCTATTTTTCCCCACTGACAACAATTGCCAATTTTTTCTGTGTCAGCGAGAGCACAAGTTTGTAATATTTGTGATATGCTTAGGTAGGAATTATTTTTTATTTCTTTTATTTATAACAATAAAGAAAAGAAAAAGCTTTAAAAGACTTAACTGTGATCTTTTCCTGAACCTAACTCAGAGGTTTCTAACGCCTAAACCTCACCAAGTCATTGTTAATGCCCGAGCTCAACCGAGCGCCATATGTTGAATGAATATTTAAAAATGATACAAATGATGTGTGAAAATCTGCGTATGACTCAAACTGGTGTGAGCAGTGAAATGACTCCACCATCAACCCCTCCTGTTTCAAAGTGGAAAATTTTCATTTATGAACATGGACGAGAATCGGTACATAGAAGGGTGGACACAGAAATAACTGCCTGTTGGCGAATGACATGACATTTACAGCTGGTAGTGGCTAGTGTTTGTCAGTTATTTCATTAGGTCTACATTAGAAAGAAGGTTTGGTGAGGAAAAGCGGAATAAACAATGACATAATGACAAAATACAACAACCTATATTTTCAACTGGCCAAACTGGTATAGTCTGGTATGTCTAATTCCCTTTAAATGTCACGTTTTTGGATTTTCTTCCCTTTCTTTCTTGCCGATTCTTTTCTGAGCCAAATGTCTGAATCATCACGAGTTTTGCATATTTGTTACTGACAAAGAAATATGCATGGCTTGACACACCACCCCGAAGTGAAGCGGTTAAGTGAAGGAGCTGTGCCAACACATTTCTTTGACTGATGACAGCAGGCTGACTGAATTGCCTTTTTCCCCCCCATAAAATATCTCAGGAAGTTCATCCATTATTTTGTAAATGAAGGACTTGATAAATATGACATTTTCTGGATGTACTTTTTCAGACTAAAGTAGTGGATTTTTTTTAGCTTGTTATATAGGACTTGAGATCAAATTGGGCTGTTCTTGGCCCATGAACTAAAGAGAGTTTGACAGCCCTGGTCTGTCCAAAAAGTTTAATGCCATTTCACGCTGCCTCATCCTGCATTTTCAAAACTCTTCAAGACCGACTAATTAATTTTCCCGACATATCCAGCCTTTCCAGGTCTGCGCTGGAACCCAGAAAATGGCGGCGGACGCTTGAGTGGTTCCACAGCTGGGTTCCGCGCTAGCAGGTTCCATTTTCATTACGGTCCGGCGTCTCCCTAACTGCGGCGTGTCATTTGATTTCATTTGAATTAAAACAGGCAATTTAATTCAGTCATTTCTAATCAATGCAAAGAGAGGAAAGCAGGTGGCGTTCTGTTTTTCCAAATTCACGAGAGGTCCATTTGTCAGGGTATTGTGATCTTAGTGTGGAAACAAAACACTTGGAATTAATAAAACCCACTTAGTGTAATGGAAAATAATGAGACCAGACACTCTTGGTTTGCTAGCCAAAGTGTCAGTCACACAACCCGACTGAGTGGACTCCACAGCAATTTTCAGGTAGGAAAACACGCTGTATTTATATCTCTGCTTATTAATAGCCTCCACCAACTGTGGCACTTTCCAGACACCAACTGTGAAGCTCATCTGCAGTCTGTTCCTCGTGTGCTTTTCTTTACGTGTGCTGCTGTACTTTCTGGCCCAAAAATAAAGAAACCAAATCAATGCGCCCAGCCGTGCCTCGGTGTTTCTTAACACAACTACAAACATGACTTCACAAGCATTTATCTTTAATAATTTTTACTCATTTAAACACCTGGACTTAAAAAAGTCCTTCTGATGAAATATTTACTTACAAATATTGCACGTGGCCTTATTTTCTTTACATCAGCTGCTGACCCTTGTAAAAAAATAATCTCGCTGCTCCCCTCTACTCAACACTAACTCCCACCCAGCGTTTGGAGCTATTCAAATGTGCAAAATATTCTGTTGGCTGAACAGCAGAGACGCAAATAGCCTCCAAGGGCAGTGCATGCTGGAGGTGCACGAGGCAGTTGGCCGGATCTGCTGTAGCCATTTAACTGGACAAGAGGCTGATAAATAATTCAGAGGGCCAGAGCGTAGGCCAAGCATGTCTCGTCAGACGCTAACAATCAAAGAAGAAGGCAGAAGAAGAGGAGGGGGGTGAGAAGGAGAGAAAGTGGCAAAACATGCCCGGAGATACCAAGAGAAACAGAGGCTAACCACCTTGTTTGTAACACAGTTCCTGGTGCATAAGGAGCTGAAGCGGTATCCTTTGTAACCCAGTGTCAGCTCCTATTAAGGTTTAATCCTGTTCCTGGATGTTATGGAAGTGTTAGCATTGAGGCTTACAAATGAATTTCTGGTAGGAGAAGTTATGCTGGTGGGCAAATGGAAATCTGATAAAAATCTATTCTCCCTTTTCTATGTGCATGTATGCGTGTGAAGGGTACACCTCGCGGAAAGAGAAAAGCCCTTTTCTTATATGTTACAGCATTTATGCTCGGAGACTGGGGAGGAGGATGTGGTGGAACAGTGGGAAAGTACAGTTAGTGGCACACTAACGGACTTCACCGCGATGGATTTCAAGTCAAATGATTGAAATGTGATTGAAGTGAAGACTTTCGGCCTGTCATTCAAGGGTTTTTACAAAAGTACCTCATTAACTGTTTATTAATTAGTGTATTTTCTGCACTATAAGGCAAACTACGAAGCCGCACCACCTGATGGATTGTCGGAGCATTAGGGCTGCCGTAGTCAGGAGCCTCACCGAGTAATCGGGGTCCCAAATTTCATCCTCTTCATGTCCCAAAGTCAAACAAACACTGCAGCATCACTGAAGAGTTAAAAACTGTCTAAATTCTTTCATCCTTAATAAAATGATCAGCGTTGCTCCTTTACCAGGAGTAAAAATTAAGTTTAACATCCAGGCATCCTTTAAAACAGAATTTATTAAACTTAACAGAGTTAGAAGTTAGCAGGAAGTTAGCTCGCCAGTTTCGCTAGTTACCTAAACATGATATAGCATGTTCTGACTGAGAGACTTCTGAAAAAAATAAAACGTACAGCTCTGCCATCACTTCCAACATAAATGAAGACAAGAAACTAAACAGCAGTGGCTTTTGTAGGGTTTTTGTAAGTTAGTGACACAGCTATGTTAGCATAACATA